AAATAGGCTTATATAAAAAAGATGCTATAAATATTCCGAAAAAAGCTATACCGACAGAAAAACTTGCATTTGTCACAAATTCATACCAATCCACAGAATTATTTGAATTCTGATGTAAAAGGTTTATAGATGGATTTAACAATTTGGATAATATATCCAAATGAATTCCTTCTTGATTAAAAGGAAAGGGAATTCCTACGACTCCAACAAACAAAGTAAATAGCACTAATATAACCATGGAAAATAGCATAGTATTGTCCGATTCATGAGGATAAGAGAAAGTATTTTTAGTGCCAAAATGAGTAATAGTAATAAAAGGGCGCATCCTGTTTTTTCCATTACCACCAATTTGATATGTCTTATTCGAAAAAAAAGAAGCCCTTTCATTATTATTCATTGTTAATAAACTTAGAAAATTGTTTTTAATCGTTTTTGGTACTTCTTTTCCCCATAGAGATATTGAATAGTAGGAACGACTTTTTTGACCACTATAATTTTGAAAATGAACATTGAAATGTCCCTCAAAAGTAAGTAAATAGATCCGAAACATATAAAATGCGGTTAATCCTGCTGTAGAACAAGCTATTATTGCGAAAATAGGTGAATACAACCAACTAGCATTAAGAATTTCATCTTTGGACCAAAAACAAGCAAGGGGGGGAATACCACAAAGAGAAAGTGTACCTACTAAAAAAGCATTTTTTGTAATTGGTACATGCTTTTTTAAACCTCCCATAAGAACCATATTCTGACTTTTATCTGGAGAATATCCAACAATAGCTTCCATTGAATGAATAATAGATCCGGATCCTAAAAACAACAATGCTTTCGAATAAGCATGAGTAATCAAATGAAATAAAGCGGCTCGATAAGACCCCATACCTAGAGCTAACATCATATAACCCAATTGAGACATTGTAGAATAAGCTAAACCTCTTTTAATATCTTTTTGAGCAAGAGCTAAAGTAGCTCCTAATAATACTGTTATTATACCTATTAAAGATATGAAATTCATTATGTAAGGTATGATTATAAAAAGAGGAAGAAGTCGAGCTACAAGAAAAATGCCCGCTGCTACCATAGTAGCGGCATGTATAAGAGCCGAAATAGGAGTAGGGCCTTCCATGGCATCAGGTAACCATACATGAAAGGGGAATTGTGCCGATTTAGCAACTGCACCGGCAAATAAAAGAAAGGCACACAAAGTAAGAAATAAAAAAGGAACCTCATTATTAGAAATCAAGTTATTGAATATTTGGAACAAATCCCGAAATTCAAAACTACCGGTTATCCAATAAAGACCTAAAATTCCTAATAATAAACCAAAATCGCCTACACGATTCGTTACAAACGCTTTTTGGCAAGCAGTCGCCGCACTAGGTCGTGTGAACCAAAAACCTATTAATAGATAAGAACACATTCCAACTAATTCCCAAAAAATATAAATTTGGATCAAATTCGAACTAGTAACTAATCCCAACATGGAAGTATTGAAAAAACTCATAGAAGCAAAAAATCGCAAATATCCTTGATCATGAGACATATAATTGTCACTATAAAAAAGAACCAAAATTCCAACAGTAGTAATTAATATTAACATAATAAAAGTAAGTGGATCGATTAAGTGACCGAACTCTAAAGAAAAATCATTATTAATGGTCCAAGACCATACATATTGATAGATAAAACTTCTATTTATTTGCTGAATAGATAGATAGACCGAAAGTATCATAACTATACTTAACAATAAAATACTAGGAAAAGCCCACATACGGCGAAGATTTTTTGTTGCCGTTGGAAAAAGGAGAAGTCCCACTCCTATTAACATAGGAACTGGAAGTGGAATGAAGGGGATAATCCATGAATATTGATATGTATATTCCATAAAAAAACCTTTTTATTTTTAATTAATTCTTTCTAATTCACCGGCTCTTATATCTTTTTATAGGTTCAATAAAAAATCAAGATATGGAAAACTTAAATAGACTTTTCTATTCCTAATTATTCTGAATCTTTCTTCTTTACCCAATACTTCAAATATTCAAATCAAGAAGTTCGAATTGGTCAAATGATATGAATATGATCAAGTTACTATTTATATTTAAAATGAAATAACACACTAATTCATTTTATTAATATTGAATATTAAGTAAGATTTTTAGGAAAATGCAGAAAAAATTCAATTATTATTACGTATTACGATAATTTATATCCATAGAGCAAATAATTATACCAAAATAGAGTAGTTAATACATTACTTTATTTTGATAGAAATAATAGGATGATCCATATCAAAACTGGCCCCCCAAAAAAAGAACTAGTTCTTTTTTTTTTTAGTTCGTTTATTCATAATCATTAACTAATTCATGGTAGAACTGATTATTTTCCATTCGAATAAAAGACATTTCTTTTTCTTTGTAGAAAACGCTAGAATATCCCACACTTTTGTTTCAATACCAGGGAGAAGAAATAGACTTAAAAGAAAAGACGAAATTACTAAGATGACTTTTAGAAAATCATGTATCCTTTGATTAACTACTAGTTTAATTCGAATTTGAAAATCAAAAAAATGTGTACTCGCTCTTTTCTTTTTCTTTTGAGCTTGACCAACTAATAAAAAACTACAGTAATTTAAAGAATTTGGAATTTGTTAGGTAAGGATTGGTTTTTTTGAACTTTTTGGTGTATTTTGTTACATGTATAAATAGAGCATGACGAAAATAGACAGAGATATAAAAAAAAAGAAAAAATGGAATTGTTTGACCAATAGATGTCTTTCACATTCAACTAGAGAAATGAATAACTTTTTCAAATTTTTCATGGCAGTTCCAAAAAAACGTACTTCTATCTCAAAAAAACGTATTCGTAAAAACATTTGGAAAAGGAAGGTATATTGGACAGCGTTGAAAGCTTTTTCCTTAGCGAAGTCTCTTTCTACCGGGAATTCAAAAAGCTTTTTTGTGCGACAATTAAATAGTCAAACACTCGATTAAATAATCTTAATCTGAAAATGGTACTTTTTTTTTTTTTAAAAAAGATACAAGGTTTCACTTTTTTTTGAATATGTTTTATCCGGTGGGGATTCTTATTTTCCTCATCGGTACACTTATCTGTCATATCATAATAAATAATTAAATTACAAAAAAAGTTTTTTGTTAGACAAGATGTTCAGTTCAGGCCAATATCGAATTAGTTTTCGAAATCCTAAATAAAATTCTTTACAGGACGAAAAACCAACCTAAGGGTTAATACAAAGTTCTACAAATTACAAATAGTTAAATAAAAAAATTGGGAATGTCACACTGTACTGTGATCCATAAAAAGACTTTTTTTGTTCATTGATAAAAAAAAGTGAATCTAAGATTCATAAAATCAGATAAATGATAAATGAATTTTAAAATTCAAAAATGAAAAATAACTTTTTTTTTGAGTTCTATCTTTATCCTTGGATTGAAGTCATAACTATTTAGTTACAAGATCTCAATTTTAGGCGAGCATAAACGACGAAAACGTCTCTGTTAAATAAAAAACGGACACCTTCCATTTTAATTCAAAAATGAAATAAAATGATAATAAAGATTTTTATGGGGAACGCTTCAATCCATATTGAAACGAAATGAGTTCTTTCTCATCACTTTGAATGAAAATGAAAGAAAAAAAATATTGAATTGAATTGACTCCTTCAATCTCGACGATTAAATAATAATAGATTATTATTATTTTGAGTACGCCGCTATGGTGAAATCGGTAGACACGCTGCTCTTAGGAAGCAGTGCTAGAGCATCTCGGTTCGAGTCCGAGTGGCGGCATGGCATCTTCTAAAACAAATAGAATAAGTCCTATAATAAATTCAATTCCTGATTTCAATTCCGTAGAATTGGTTTACCCCACTTTTTCATTTTAATTAAATTAAAAAATTTTTATGATATTTTCCACTTTAGAACATATATTAACTCATATATCCTTTTCGATCGTTTCAATTGTAATTACAATTTTTTTGATAAGCTTATCGGTCGATGAAATCGTAGGACTATATGATTCGTCAGAAAAAGGCATGATAGCTACTTTTTTCTGTATAACAGGATTATTAGTCACTCGTTGGATTTATTCGGGACATTTCCCGTTAAGTGATTTATATGAATCATTAATTTTTCTTTCATGGAGTTTCTCCATTATTCATATGGTTCCGTATTTTAAAAAACATAAAAATTATTTAAGCGCAATAACCGCGCCAAGTACTATTTTTACCCAAGGCTTTGCTACTTCAGGTCTTTTAACTGAAATGCATCAATCCGAAATAGTAGTACCTGCTCTCCAATCCCAATGGTTAATGATGCATGTAAGTATGATGATATTGGGCTACGCAGCTCTTTTATGGGGATCATTATTATCAGTAGCTCTCTTAGTCATTACATTGCGAAAAGCCATAAGGATTTTTAGTAAAAAAAACAATTTTTTAAATGAGTCATTTTCCTTTGTCGAGATCCAATACATGAATGAAAGAAGCAATGTTTTACTAAACACTTCTTTTTTTTCTTCTCGAAATTATTACAGGGCTCAACTGATTCAACAATTAGATCAGTGGAGTTATCGTATTATTAGTCTCGGGTTTATCTTTTTAACCATAGGTATTCTTTCGGGAGCAGTATGGGCTAATGAGGCATGGGGATCATATTGGAATTGGGACCCAAAGGAAACTTGGGCATTTATTACTTGGACCCTATTTGCGATTTATTTACATACTCGAACAAATAAAAATTGGGAAAGTTTAAATTGCGCAATTGTGGCTTCTATGGGCTTTCTTATAATTTGGATATGCTATTTTGGGGTCAATTTATTAGGAATAGGATTACATAGTTATGGTTCATTTAATTTACATTAAGATCTAATTAAATTAAAAAAAATCCCGACAAATACAAACATAGAACAAGCCTATATAGAAATAGAATATAAAAATAAGTAAGAATAGAAGATAAGAAAACTTCCTACTTCATGTAGGCTGTCGAGAACCATTTGAATCACTACAATACTTGATTCAAAAGGTTCTCATAAAGACCAAAAATATCTGTTTACAATTCCAATTTTTTTTTTACTTAAGAGAAAAAAGACTTTTTTTTTCATTGTACAACGAACAATATTAAAAATAATAATAGGATTCTTTTTTTATTTTTTCTTTTATTGATGAAAACTATTGATAAAAATAATTAGATATAATAGCTTCGACCTTGTCAACAGATAGTGAGAGAACGAAATCTGGATAAATACCAATAGCTATTATTGGTAGAAGGATAGAGATCGAAACAAATAACTCTCGCGGCCCAGAATCAAAAAAATAAGAGTTTGGAACATTAAATAACTTGTATCCATAGAACATTTGGCGTAACATAGATAATAAATAAATAGGAGTTAATATCATTCCAATTGCCATTACAAAAGTAATTAGTATTTTTGGCATTAAAAGATATTTTTGGCTGTTAATTATTCCAAAAAATACTATCAATTCTGCAAGAAAACCACTCATACCCGGTAATGCAAGGGAAGCCATTGATAAGATACTGAACATCGTGAATATTTTTGGAAGGTGGATAGCCATTCCACCCATTTCGTCGAGATAAACAAGACGTATTCTATCATAACTCGTTCCTGCCAAGAAAAAAAGAGCAGCGCCGATAAATCCATGAGAGATTATTTGTAAAATGGCTCCATTGAGTCCCGTATCAGTTATCGAGCCAATTCCAATAATTATGAAACCCATATGAGATACAGAGGAATAGGCTATTCTTTTTTTTAAATTACGTTGACCAGGAGATGTTAAAGCTGCATAGATTATTTGGATTGCGCCTACTATAATCAACCAGGGAGAAAATATAGAATGAGCATGAGGTAATAATTCCATATTGATCCGAACCAACCCATATGCTCCCATTTTTAATAAAATTCCGGCTAGAAGCATACAAGTACTATAATGTGCCTCTCCATGGGTGTCTGGTAACCATGTATGTAAGGGTATAATCGGTAATTTAACAGCAAAAGCAATAAAAAATCCAATATAGAATATTATTTCCAGTCCCACCGGATACGATTGATTAGCTAATGTTTCCAAATTTAATATTGGTTCGTTGGAACCATATAAACCAATACCCAGAACCCCTATTAATAGAAAAATGGAACCTCCCGCAGTGTACAAAATAAATTTTGTAGCGGAATACAGACGTTTCTTTCCCCCCCACATCAATAGAAGTAGATAAATGGGAATTAATTCTAACTCCCACATAATGAAAAAAAGTAAAAGGTCTCGAGAAGAAAATGATCCTATTTGACCGCTGTACATTGCTAACATCAGGAAATGGAATAATCGGGAATCTCGAGTAACTGGCCGAGCCGCTAAAGTAGCTAAAGTGGTGATAAATCCCGTCAGTAAAATAGGTCCTATAGAAAGTCCATCTATTCCCAATCTCCAGTAAAAATAAAAAAAATTAATCCATTTATAATCCTCTGTTAGTTGGGTTAATGGATCGTTCAATTGGAAATGATAACAGAATGTATAGGTAGTTAAAAGGAGCTCTAAAATAGATATGCATATAGTATACCACCTTATTACCTTATTTCCTCTATGAGGTAGAAAGAAAATTAAAGAACCTGCGAATATCGGCAAAAGTACAATTATTGTTAACCAAGGAAAATAATTCGTGGTAAAGACAAGATACACTTGGACAAAAAAAACCCGTACTCGATAAAGAAAAAAGAATAATATATTATCTATTTTGAGCACGGGTTTTTGTCGGTAAAAAAAAATCAATTGTATTCAAAATGTATTTACGTGGTTTTTTCCGGAACGTATTAATACGCTAGACCCATGCTTCGAGTTGTTTCATGCCATAAATAAACTCGAACGCTCAAAAAATCCGTTGGACAGGCGGATTCACATCTCTTACAACCGACACAGTCCTCTGTTCTTGGAGCAGAAGCAATTTGCTTAGCTTTACATCCATCCCACGGTATCATTTCTAATACATCTGTTGGGCAGGCTCGCACACATTGAGTACATCCTATACATGTATCATAAATCTTTACTGAATGTGACATCGGATCTATAAGTTTTTGAATGTCATCAATTTTCAATCTAGTAAACTTGTAAATGTATCATATATTTAGACACTAGATGAATCAATGGATTTTAACATAATTTTTCTAATCAATCGAATTCCGGATCGAGTAATGAGATCGGCCCAAGATGCTTTGATTTCTTACGTTTTTATCAAACCTGCGTATTATACATGCTAATTTGAATTGATGAATATTCTAATTTCTATAATTAATAATATATAAATATAATTAATTAATACTACTTATTTATTCATTTATTTAACAAATTCGATTGATTGATACGAGTTGATTTTCTGTTACGATAAATTGACGAAACAATAGCTAACCCAATAGCTGCTTCGGCGGCTGCAATAGCTATAACAAAAATGGAGAAAATATCTCCTTTTAATTGTCGACTATCAAAAAAATCTGAAAATGTTACGAAATTTATATTAACCGCATTGAGGATAAGTTCAAGACACATAAGGGCCCTAACCATATTTCGACTCGTGATCAATCCATAGATACCAATAGAAAATAAATAGGCACTCAAAACAAGTACATGTTCGAGTATCATTGACCAGCTCCTTATTAATTTTGATTCATTTCAATATGAACAAGAATTCAACTTATTGAATTGACTATAATATAACAAGTACAAAACAAAGGAATAGATTGATATTTGGTAATGTATCAAAATAAAGAATTTATATTTTATACATGAACAGTTTTCAAATAGAATTGAATAGAAATGGATTTGATAACAGAAAACAAAGTTGAATTTTGATTGCTATTAATAGTTATAAAGATTTATCATTGACGAGCAACAGCAATTGCACCTATCAAAGCAACTAAAAGAATTATGGAAATGAGTTCAAATGGAAGAAAAAAATCTGTTGATAAATGAATTCCGATTTGTTGACTATTACCTATCAAATCTTGCTCGATAATCTGGTTTGACTTTGTCGTCCAGATAATCCCGTACCAAGACGTATCTAAAATAGTAGTCATTAGTGAAACAAAAATACTTGTACAAACCAACGAAGTAATCCCATCTCCAACAGTCCAAAGATTCAAATCTTTGTAATATTCTGAACCATTCATGAACATCACAGCAAATAGAATTAAAACGTTTATAGCTCCTACATAAATAAGGAGCTGCGCAGCCGCTACAAAGTGGGAGTTTGATAGAATATAAAATAAGGATATACAAACAAGAACCAATCCCAAGGAAAAGGCAGAATAAATTGGATTGGTAAGTAATACCACTCCTAGACTTCCTAATATAAGACCTGATCCCAGAAAAACTAAAAGAAAATCATGTATTGGTCCAGGCAAATCCATTATTATATGTAAAAGAGAAATAAATTGAAATGTTTTTCATGATTTTATTGACCCGACAAGGAATTTTTTTAGGATATGCTCCTAATTTCATTTAATTCAAATCGAATGGATTTAAAATGGGTCTAGGTCCAATTAGTGGACCAATATAATATGGTTTTCTCTTTACCCAAAAGATTTACACCAAAGAAAAGGGTAATTT